TTTGTAGTTAATATCTTTTATTTATATTATTATTATAAATCGATTTTATTATCTTCATTTATATTTTATATAATATATATATAGATATATTTACTATTATATTACATATATGTATTAGTATTAAAGTCTCATCATAATTATTTTAAAAAACCTAAAATAGTTTAATCCAAAAGTTAATTTTATGATTAACTATTTATTTTAATGGATGAGATATTTATAGAAATCATTTGTATTGAATTTAAATAAGGGAAAAGTTTAGAAAATTAAAGAAATCGTTTCATTTTGAATTACAAAGTTGTTGAACTTTTTTTATGTTGAATGATTAAGTCGTTGCATATTTTTGAATAATTAAATGATTGAGTTTTTTAGAAAGTGGTTACTTTAATTATTTTAACCAAAAAAACTACTTGTATTGTTATAGAAGAGGAAGAATAAAAAAAAATTGATCATTTTTTTGGGCCCTGCCATTAATGTCCCTCATTTTGATCATTTTTTTTATCTGTCTATCTATATATTTAATTATATTGTTGTAAAAGAGAGAGAATCGAAATACAAAAAAACAGATAAAAAGAGGAAGATCCCTTAAACGTAGTTGTTCGAATGCGTCAACATTTATTGACTTGGATGAAATGAGCTGTTAAGAACTAGCGAGACGGTTCTTTTAGAATAAGTGAAATGTAATGTAAATTATTTTATTTTTATTATATATATATATATTTTATGTTTTACTTATATCTCAAATCTCAATGTTTATGTTTGATTTTTATAATTATATAATTACTAATAAAAATAGTTAATGTTTATATGGAAGTAAAAAATATAAAAGAAGAAAAACTTAACATATATGTAAAATATTTTATTTATTATTAATATTTATATTAATTGAAATAATATGATTAAATATTATAAAATACATATTAAAATATAACATATATACTATAAAAAATATACATTTATTAATAATTTATATTAATTAAAATATAATATAAATAAATAAAAAAACAAAAAAAAAAAAAATATCAATAACTTATATTAATTAAAATTTCTTTAATATAAATTAAAATAATATTAAGATAGTAATAACAAAAAGACAAAAACATCAAAAACCAAAAANATCAATAACTTATATTAATTAAAATTTCTTTAATATAAATTAAAATAATATTAAGATAGTAATAACAAAAAGACAAAAACATCAAAAACCAAAAAACAATAATAATGGATGTTTGGTTCGAAATCCGGTAGAATTAGAATGGTCAATTTCGTTGACCAAATTTCATTCCAATGTTTGGTTACCCATGGAATGAAATTGAATTCCAAAGATTCCATCATTTGAGGATTTCACCATTCCTTTCTAAAACTAATGGAATTGAAATCCATTCCATCCAAAAACGTGTAAATGACAAAAATACCCTCATGATGCTTCCAGTTTCATCATTGATTGATTATTGTTTCCTTCCAATTTCTGCTTATCGTTTACTACTTGCTTCCAAGAAAACGAAACATCATTGCAAGACGAAAACTACTTGTTTATCTATTACTGTTTGCTTCCTGATAACTGCTTGCTTGTCAATTACTGCTTGCTTATCGATTATTGCTTGCTTCCCAATAACTGCTTGCTTATTGATCACTACTTGCTGTTAATTAATGCTTGTTGTCGATTACTGCTTGCTTCCCAATAAGTGGATCTCCGATGAAACGGAAACACAGAAAGGAAGATAAAAAGAATAAACCCTGGAAACAAAAGCCAAGAAATTTCACGCCGGTCGATTACTGATTACTGGATCTCCAATGAAGAGAAAACACATAAAGAAAGAGAAAAATAAGCCAACAAATTTCACGTGAACCAGAAATCTGGAATTGGAGTCCATGTAACTGAAAATATGAATGAGTTTGCTTCCATATCCAATTTTAAAAAAAATATCAGAGAAAGAGAATTTTTGTCATTTTTCATCATTCCAATCTAATTCAGTTACAAACCAAACAGACAGATTACAATCCATTAAACAGATTGCATTTCATTACTGCCAATGAAGGAAATGAATGAGACACGTAGTGTGTTGTCGTTGGCTAAAATGATAGTAATTGTAATTAGAAAGGGGAAACAGTTACTTAATGGGGATGAAAAAGACTAAAATGATAAATAAAATTAAAATAAATAAACCAAAATCATAATTTAATCTATAATAAATGACCCTTTGGTGGTTTTCCATCTAACTTCCAATCAAAAGCTCTACCCACCTTTTTTTGTTGTAACATTAAAATTGGTTTTTAATTTACAAATTACAAGGACCAAAATAATTATGGATTTGGGACATATGGTTTGCATTTTTCACCCTTTGAGTCCCTCCTAATAGAATCTAATAACCCGATTAGCTCGATGGGTATTTTAGTCTTTTTACTACCAATTTTACCAAGTCAAACACCCATCACAGTTTGGGTCTTCATCCTTGTGTCGAAGACGGAGAATGAGTTGCAAGTCTACGGATGTAACAGAGATGGGGAGTTAGGATCACCGGGGGGGGAGTCGTCGTAGGTCGGTATTTATTGTTGGGAACCATGCCGGAAAAGGGGAGGCCGATGAGGGAACGGGAGGATTGATGTGGAATGACATATATATATATATATATATATATATATATATATATAGGGAACGGGAGGATTGATGTGGAATGATATATATATATATATATATATATATATATATTTTGTTTATTGATCTAAAATGTTAATCATAATCAATGAACTTTGATCACCTTTCATAAATATTCAGATCATAATAAATAAACTTTCGTAATTTTCATAAATATTTTATTTGTATGGTTTATACTAATCAAAGAGTTTTTATGAACACTCTCTCTATATATCTATATCTATACTATCTTATAAAGCAAATTTAACAAAAGTCTTAAAATACTAAATGACCAAGATATCTTTTATATCACTTTTTTCACTTTTTCACCCCTTCATCTCCTCACATGCACTCATCCTCTCACAACCGACTTTTTTTAAATTATAATTTTAAATTTACACTTTATACCCCTATGATTAATTAATTAATTTACTTTACGAGCTTTATTTTAAATGTTTCATTTTAAACATTTATCAAATTAATATACATAATCGTATATCAATTAAAACATGTTTAAAAAATATATTTTTATTTTAACAAGTTACACCATTATAATCGTTTCGTTAATACCTTCGAAATGAGTCCAATATTGAATAGTTTTTGACTTAATT